AGATTGAAAAAAACATTGAGTGAAACACAATTAGATAAGATTATATGGATTCCACAACAATACCGTTCGATAGCGGAAAATACTAGCCCTCTAACATGGAATGTATTACAGATATGGGATTTAATATATAAACAGATGGGATGGGGATATAATTCACCCCTAATACCACTAGAGGGAACAAAATATTTTACAGAAGGGATGAGGAGCATAACAGGGATGTGGATAAAAGATAGGAATGCACGTTTGAATGATATTATGGAAAAAGGAGAAATATGTTCTTTTCAGGAGTTGAAACACAAAAGGGACATGTTTTATGTGATGGATGAATGGAGATACACCACTTTATACATTTTGTTGCAACACTTCCACAGCCAATAAGAGCAATTGAAAATTTGCGCCTACTAGAACAATTGATGAATTTAGAAGGATCACAAAAACATTGCACCTCTCGTATGTATAAGACACTATAATATTGGAGCTGGTTTTTCCATTATATATGGAAAGATGGGAAAAGGAACTAGAAACACAGCTGAATGAACAACAAAAAAAGAAAATATTTAGAATTTCTCATGGGGCAATTGATATGAACACAGTAGAGATGAGTTATAAACTCCTGACAAGATGGTATGATACGCCGAGTAGAGTGCATAAGTATCACCCAGAGAATTTTTCGCTCTGCTGGAGGGGATGTGGGAGAGAGGGTACAATGGCACATATATGGTGGGAATGTCCCAAGATACAGGAATATTGGCAGAAGATAGTACGACAAATATTAGAAACTGAACGATAAAGTTTAACAGTTGACCCACGGGTTTGTTTATTTTTTAATACTGGTCTTATGGTAAAACAATACGATTGTATTTCATTTAATTAATGCAGCGAATGGGTTGATACCCAAATATTGGAAGACCCAAGAAGCACCAAAGGTTAAAGATTGGATAAAGAGGGTTATATAGGATAGAAGAATTAAATCTTAGTGGGGAGGATAAAATGGAAAAACATGTGGGAGGTGGTATGAATATAGGACTACACAGAAATATGTTGATCTGATGAGTAAAGAGGAGAAGGAAAGAGTAGGGAGAGGAATATGGAGAAAGGATGTATAATAAAGGTGTAGTGAGACAAATAGTAGAAGAGGAGAAGGAGAGGTGGGATAGGGTGGGGAGGGGAAAATGGAATATGTAAATGTGTTTTAGAGAATTTGTGTTGGTGATGTGTTGCATTTTTGTAAAATGTAATTAATAAAAATTATAATAAAAAATACATAAATTAAGATTTACAACAAGCACTATTTTCCACTTTAGAACAGATGTTGGTAGATCTGTACCACTTGCTGCCCAGGCCAATTCTGACATTACTCTCATACATGTAAAAAAATATATAATATTTAATTTTTGGGTAAAATATAAAAGATGATATTACACTGAGTTACCCAACATGTCACGCTTTTAAAATTGTGAATGCCAGTGGAATGGGACAAACTACAATACCTAAAAATCTACATAGACAATGCTTTAAAAGTCTTTACAGGTTACCAGTTTAGAGTTACACAGGAAGTCTGGTGCTAGAATTATTGTTCTCACTCTGACGTTCATGGGGATACCTCACATGTTTGGTGTGATCGCATCATCGCGTTTACATATGCATGGGGGACCTACAGTCAGGTCCATAAATATTGGGACATCGACACAATTCTAACATTTTTGGCTCTATACACCACCACAATGGATTTGAAATGAAATGAACAAGATGTGCTTTAACTGCAGACTGTCAGCTTTAATTTGAGGTTATTTACATCCAAATCAGGTGAACGGTGTAGGAATTACAACAGTTTGCATATGTGCCTCCCACTTGTTAAGGGACCAAAAGTAATGGGACAATTGGCTTCTCAGCTGTCCCATGGCCAGGTGTGTGTTATTCCCTCATTATCCCAATTACAATGAGCAGATAAAAGGTCCAGAGTTAATTTCAAGTGTGCTATTTGCATTTGGAATCTGTTGCTGTCAACTCTCAAGATGAGATCCAAAGAGCTGTCACTATCAGTGAAGCAAGCCATCATTAGGCTGAAAAAACAAAACAAACCCATCAGAGAGATAGCAAAAACATTAGGCGTGGCCAAAACAACGGTTTGGAACATTCTTAAAAAGAAGGAACGCACCGATGAGCTCAGCAACACCAAAAGACCCAGAAGACCACGGAAAACAACTGTGGTGGATGACCGAAGAATTCTTTCCCTGGTGAAGAAAACACCCTTCTTAACAGTTGGCTAGATCAAGAACACTCTCCAGGAGGTAGGTGTATGTGTGTCAAAGTCAACAATCAAAAGAAGCCTGCACCAGAGTGAATACAGAGGGTTCACCACAAGATAGAAACCATTGGTGAGCCTCAAAAACAGGAAGGCCAGATTAGAGTTTGCCAAACGACATCTAAAAAAGCCTTCACAGTTCTGGAACAACATCCTATGGACAGATGAGACCAAGATCAACTTGTACCAGAGTGATGGGAAGAGAAGAGTATGGAGAAGGAAAGGAACTGCTCATGATCCTAAGCATACCACCTCATCAGTGAAGCATGGTGGTGGTAGTGTCATGGCGTGGGCATGTATGGCTGCCAATGGAACTGGTTCTCTTGTATTTATGACAAAAGCAGCAGGATGAATTCTGAAGTGTTTCGGGCAATATTATCTGCTCATATTCAGCCAAATGCTTCAGAACTCATTGGACGCCGCTTCACAGTGCAGATGGACAATGACCCAAAGCATACTGCAAAAGCAACCAAAGAGTTCTTTAAGGGAAAGAAGTGGAATGTTATGCATGCAATGGCCAAGTCAATCACCTGACCTGAATCCCATTGAGCATGCATTTCACTGGCTGAAGACAAAAGTGAAGGGAAAATGCCCCAAGAACAAGCAGGAACTGAAGACAGTTGCAGTAGAGGCCTGGCAGAGCATCACCAGGGATGAAACCCAGCGTCTGGTGATGTCTATGCGTTCCAGACTTCAGGCTGTAATTGACTGCAAAGGATTTGCAACCAAGCATTAAAAAGTGAAAGTTTGATTTATGATTATTATTCTGTCCCATTACTTTTGGTCCCTTAACAAGTGGGAGGCACATACGCAAACTGTTGTAATTCCTACACCGTTCACCTGATTTGGATGTAAATACCCTCAAATTAAAGCTGACAGTCTGCAGTTAAAGCACATCTTATTAGTTTCATTTCAAATCCATTGTGGTGGTGTATAGAGCCAAAAATGTTAGAATTGTGTCAATGTCCCAATATTTATGGACCTGACTGTACATATGTTTTTGCATTTGCTTGTGAGCAAGTGGGATACAGTCGAAGAGAGAGGGACAGTGAACAGCAGGATAAAACAGTTTTTTTGCAAAATGCAGCCCCAGTAGTTTGAAATACATTGTGCCATTTGTAAAAAATATTATTTACTTGAAATGCCACACCTGCAGGTCTTTTATTTCACCAATGCAGCCTGGCTGAAACACTTTCTATGTTTACATTATTACATCCTTATTTCCAGGACATGATAGTCATTGGGTGCTCATCACAGCATTGCTGTCTCTCATCACAGCAAAGACTCTAGTCACACCTCCCCACCAGAATTATCACACTGCTTAGCCATTTTTCCATCTCATACTCTGGACAAAATGAATGCTGAGCCTCCTTTGAAAGCAACTAAAGAGATTTTCATTTTAGTTGTCTTTTAAAGAAAAGAGCTCAGTGGCTTTTTTGGCTTATGTTTTGTGGTACTTTCAAGAAACAACTGTTTACTTGACTTTAGAAATAATATCATAACTATACAAACAGTTTTGGAAAAGTGTTTTCTTAACCACTTGCCCTCCACAGGATTTACCCCCCTTCCTGACCAGGCCATTTTTTGTGCTGCGGCACTGCATTATTTTAACTGACAATTGCGTGGTCATGCAGTGCTGCACCCATATTAACCACTTCCAGTCTGGACACTTTTACCCTCTTCCTGTCCAGGCCAATTTTCAGCTATCAGTGCTATCACACTTTGAATGACAATTGCGCGGTCATGCAACACTGTACCCATATGAATTTTTTTGAGACAGATAAAGCTTTATTTTGGTGGTATTTATTCACCACTGGGATTTTTATTTTTTTTGCTATGAAAGTCCAAAAATTTGGAAAAAAAGTGTTTTTTTTATAAAATTTAGCAAATAAATGATATTTCATCATAAATCTTGGCCAAAATTTATTCCGTTATATTTTTAGTAAAAAAAAATAACCCAAATTAGTTTATAACCAAAAATCATAATTTTTTTTAAAAAAAAATTTAAATTTTTTTTATATTTATTATTTTTTTTTACATACTGTCACCCTAACAGTACAGTGTCACCATGGTGACACTGTACTACTTGTGGGGGGGTGATGAAAAAATGTTTTTCTTTTTTTTTACACTGATTGCTTTTATACCCATAAAGGATATAGAAGCAATCATTTCTCCTTCTCTCTAGCTGCATTCTTGCAGCCATTGAGAACTAATGAGTGAGCTGTGATTGGTCACAGCTTGTCACTTGGTTGTGCTATACAGAGCCATACAAAGCAGTGTGCAGGAGCTGACAGGGGAGAGAACTGTATTATTTACATACAGTTCTCTCCCTGTCGTTCATACTCGGCAATCACCAGCTGGGACCCGGCGATTGACAGCCAAGGCCGCGAATGGCCCGGAACTGCAATATCACATATATATATATATACCTGTGCTGCCCTGTAGCAGTATTTCTACTATAGGGCAGCCGGAAAGCGGTTAAACAAGTATAAGGTGTACGGTCAATTACCTTTTAAAATATTAATTCATTATTTTAAGATTAAGAAGTAACCTAGTTTTTCTTGTTTACCCTATTTGTAGTACATTGTTATTACTTAACAATTAATATCATACATTTCTTTCTTCTTCTTTTGCTATTGGTAACAATTATGCATATTTTTCTTTTGTGCTACATATTTTTATTTTTACTTTATAGGTTGCCTAGCAACAACACATTCTAAAGCTATTCACAAACTAGATATTCCTTCTTTCGACTGGCCTATTGCCCCTTTTCCAAGACTAAAGTACCCATTGGAGCAGTTTGCAAAGGAAAACCAAGATGAAGAGGCCCACTGTTTGGAAGAGGTAACTGGCAGTATATACAGTATAATTTAAATGAGAATTCCCAGGCAATGTTATCACTTTAAATCTAAAAATGCATTAATTATGTAGAAACACACCACCACAGTAAAAAATTGCAGATAATTCTCGCCATTACCGAATATTATTGATTTATTGAAATACAACTATACCCAATGGACGAGCATTGGTTAGGTGTCTTAAATGGCTGGTTTGTTTGTGGTTTGTGTATGTATATATATATATATATATATATATATATATATATATATATATATACATACACACACACACACTATGTACAGTATATCCATATATCCTTCCCTTGCTCCTTCTAAGTGCTCTCTGAAAAAAAACTTAAGCATTCCTCTTTAGTAATACCACACCCACCAGGAATATCCCTGCTCCTCATAGACCTACCTACCATCCATGTTACAAAAGGTTTACAAAATAAAACATCACCTGGAACTTGGGCACTATGGCATTTTTCAAGTACATATGCAATGTAAAAACATACTTATTACAAACTTTGTCTTCTGAAGTAAATGAGTCCAAAAGATAATTATTGGATGCTTAGCTAGTTCTGTGAAGTCTTAGGTACCACACATCTGTGCATATTTTGAATTTTCGGTCTGTCCATGTATCACTACATTGCATGTATTAATTATCTTCTGAAGACCCCACACAATTTCCAGGGATATCTGCTGGTAAACGTCTTTTTGCTGCCTCAGAAGCAATTGCTCCCCAAATGTATAGTGCAGTTGCACTGTCACCATTGTTTGTTTTATATATATATATATATATATATATTATTTACACACACAGTATCTCACAGAAGTGAGTACACCCCTCACATTTTTTTACATATTTTATTATATCTTTTCATGTGACAACACTGAAATGACACTTTGCTACAATGTAAAGTAGTGAGTATACAGCTTGTATAAAAGTGTAAATTTGCTGTCCCATCAAAATAAACTCAACACACAGCCATTAATGTCTAAGCCGCTGGCAACAAAAGTGAGTACAGCCCTAAGTGAAAATGTCCAAACTGGGCCCAAAGTGTCAATATTTTGTGTGGCCACCAATATTTTCCAGTACTGCCTTAACCCTCTTGGGCATGGAGTTCACCAGAGCTTCACAGGTTTCCACTGGAGTCCTCTTCTACTCCTCCATGATGACATCACGGAGCTGATGAATGTTAGAGACCTTGCACTCCTCCACCTTCCATTTGAAGATGCCCCACAGATGTGCTCCATAGGGTTTAAGTCTGGAGACATGCTTGCCCAGTCTATCACCTTTACCCTTAGCTTCTTTAGCAAGGCAGTGGTCTTCTTAGAGGTGTGTTTGGGGTCATTATCATGTTGGAATACTGCCCTGCAGCCCAGTCTCCGAAGGGAGGGGATCAAGCTCTGCTTCAGTATGTCACAGTACATGTTGACATTCATGGTTCTCTCAATGAACTGTAGCTCCCCAGTGCCGGCAGCACTCATGCAGCCCCAGACCATGACACTCCCACCACCATGCTTGACTGTAGGCAAGACACACGTCTTTGTACTCCTCACCTGGTTGCCGCCACACACGCTGGACACCATCTGAACCAAATAAGTTTATCTTGGTCTCATCAGACCACAGGACATGGTTCCAGTAATCCATGTCCTTATTCTGCTTGTCTTTAGCAAACTGTTTGTGAGCTTTCTTGTGCATCATCTTTAGAAGAGGCTTCCTTCTGGGATGATAGCCATGCAGACCAATTTGATGCAATGTGCGACGTATGGTCTGATCACTGACAGGCTGACCCCCCACCCCTTCAACCTCTGCAGCAATGCTGGCAGCACTCATACGTCTATTTCCCAAAGACAACCTCTGGATATCACACTGAGCACGTGCACTCAACTTCTTTGGTCAACCATGGCGAGGCCTGTTCTGAGTGGAACCTGTCCTGTTAAACCGCAGTATGGTCTTGGCCACCGTGCTGCAGTTCAGTTTCAGGATCTTGTCAATCTTCTTATAGCCTAGGCCAGTGATGGCGAACCTTTTTGAGCCCGAGTGCCCAAACTGCAACCCAAAACCAACTTATTTCTTTCAAAGTGCCAACACTGCAATGAAACCTGAATATCGAGCTTTTGGTTTAGAAAAAACAACTCGTACAGTAGTGCAAACTAATTAACAGTACAGGGATGACCAGAGACTGCGGACACAGTACAGGGATGACCAGAGACTGCAGACACAGTACAGGGATGACCAGAGACTGCGGACACAGTACAGGGATGACCAGAGACTGCGGACACAGGTACAGGGATGACCAGAGACTGCAGACACAGTACAGGGATGACCAGAGACTGCGGACACGGTACAGGGATGACCAGAGACTGCGGACACGGTACAGGAGATGACCAGAGACTGCGGACACGGTACAGGGATGACCAGAGACTGCAGACACAGTACAGGGGATGACCAGAGACTGCAGACACGGTACAGGGATGACCAGAGACTGCAGACACGGTACAGGGATGACCAGAGACTGCAGACACGGTACAGGAGATGACCAGAGACTGCGGACACGGTACAGGAGATGACCAGAGACTGCGGACACGGTACAGGAGATGACCAGAGACTGCGGACACGGTACAGGAGATGACCAGAGACTGCGGACACGTACAGGGATGACAGAGACTGCAGACACAGTACAGGGATGACCAGAGACTGCGGACACAGTACAGGGATGACCAGAGACTGCGGACACAGTACAGGGATGACCAGAGACTGCGGACACAGTACAGGGATGACCAGAGACTGCGGACACAGTACAGGGATGACCAGAGACTGCGGACACAGTACAGGAGATGACCAGAGACTGCGGACACAGTACAGGGATGACCAGAGACTGCGGACACAGTACAGGGGATGACCAGAGACTGCGGACAGTACAGGGGATGACCAGAGACTGCGGACACAGTACAGGAGATGACCAGAGACTGCGGACACAGTACAGGGATGACCAGAGACTGCGGACAGTTCAGGGATGACCAGAGACTGCGGACAGTACAGGAGATGACCAGAGACTGCGGACAGCACAGGGATGACCAGAGACTGCGGACAGTACAGATGACTGCTGACCTTTGGGGAGGGGGGGAGCGGGTACCTGAATTTGACAGGTACCCGCTCTTACTTCCGCAGAGTTTTTTTTTTCATCTTACCTGTTCCTTTATCCAGCCGCGCGCTGTCTTCCCGGCTTCTGTAGTGTGGGCGCTCGTCGGACAGCCGGATGCCCAGTGCGCATGCGCAAGAAGCGCTGCGCTTTGTGATTGGTCCGGCGGCTTCTGGGATCTGTCATGTGTCCCAGGTACCGCCTTACCATTCACAAAGAGCACTGCTTCTTGCGCATGCGCACTTGGGACCCGGCTGTCACGCACACTACAGAAGCCGGGAAGACAGCGCGCCGCTGGATAGAGGGACAGGTACGGTCCCACTGCAGAGCTGAGCGGCCGGCCCGGTATTCTGACACGGCGGCGGTGGAAATACCGGACCGGCCGCTCTATATTCGCTCCATAAGACGCACTGACATTTTCCCCCCTTTTTTGGGGGAAAAAAAGTGCGTCTTATGGAGCGAAAAATACGGTATTCTCCTGGCGTGCCCACAGATAAGGCTCGGCGTGCCGGCTGTGGCACGCGTGCCACGGGTTCGCCATCACTGGCCTAGGCCATCTTTATGTAGAGCAACAATTCTTTTTTTCAGATCCTCAGAGAATTCTTTGCCATGAGGTGCCATGTTGAACTTCCAGTGACCAGTATGTAAGAGTGAGAGAACAATGACACCAAATTTAACACACCTGCTCCCCATTCACACCTGAGACCTTGTAACACATAGGAGTCACATGACACCGGGGAGGGAAAATGGCTAATTGGGTCCGATTTGGACATTTTCACTTAGGGGTGTACTCACCTTTGTTGGCAGCAGTTTAGACATTAATGGCTGTGTGTTGATTTATTTTGAGGGGACAGCAAATGTGATACAAGCTGTACACTCACTACTTTACATTGTAGCAAAGTGTCATTTCAGTGTTGTCACATAAAAAGATATAATAAAATTCACCTCCTATATATATATATATAACCAAAAATTCAAAATGCACTTGGCCAAAATCCGAAATGCACAGTTTTTAAAAATGAATGAATTATTTTGATGAAAAAAAAAAACAATATATACCCCAATTGTTTTGTAAAATATGAAAGAGGATGCTATGGCGAGTAAATGGATACCCAACATGTCACGTTTTAAAATTGCACATATTCGTGTAATGGCATAAAAGTGCGGTACTTAAAAATCTCCATGGGTGATGCTTTAAAAATGTCTACAGGTTAGCAGTGTAAAGTTACAGAGGAGATCCAGTGCTAGAATTATTGCTCTTGCTCTGACGTTCGTGGCGATACCTCACTTGTGTGGTTTGAACACCATTTACATATGTGAGCATGGCCTATGTATGCGTTCACCACTAAATGCGAGCACGGGGAGGGGATGGGGGCACTTTAAACATTTTTTTATATTATTATTTATTTAATTTTTTTTTTTTTTTTTTTGCCCTGTCCCTTAAAAAAATACATCCCTTGTAATAGAAATATGTAGTGACAGGTCCTCTTTATGGAGAGATGTGGGATCAATAAGACCCCACATCTCTCCTCTGCAATGTATATATATTCATTTCCTTCCACAAAGTTCATTTATAATTCCTGAACAACAATCACGTTTTATTTTGCAAAGGTGATGCCTTTGTTTAGAGCAACTGGATACAAGAGATGCTAAATATACTACAGGTGATCATTGTATAGAACTGGGCCAAGGATGATGTTGAAGTAGAAAGAGGAAATCTTTCTGAGTTCTGTATGTGAGGAATGTAAGTAATGGTGTTGATTTGGTTTTTCATTACCTCACAAATGGGAACTCTCTAAAGCCACCTACAACAGACCATTTATAGTGTGGACATACAGTGGTGCCAACCCCCTTGTGTTGGATTGATTGTCTATAATTAGACATGGTATTACCCTTGCTAGGCTAAATAATATGGAAGTTTGATATATCTTTGTATAGTCCACAATCATATAATTTATATTTTGAGTAGATAGAACTTGTGCCTTGTCCACCAAGTAGTCCTGCAGACCAGACCTATTTGTAGCACTTCTATTGAGTGACACTAGTTCGTAATGCCCCAGCCTTTTGTTACTTGTTTTCTGTTTACTGCACGTTTTCCTGTTGAGCGCACTAGGAACTCTAAATTCCAATTTCTCTCACATTCAAATTTCAACTTGGTTTCCAGCTTGACCCCACTCCATATGGCCTTTTTTTCCCCTCAATATTTGTTAATGAGGTCATCTATCCACGTTATGGGCTGAAAGTGAAAGAAAGTTGCCAGGGCTAGGATGTCAAATATCTGCTTTCTCACAACAATGCCCTTCTTATTTTCTTTCTTTATCAAGAATAGCCTCTCGGCCCATTGAATACTGTTGACAATTGTGCAGACTCCGAAGGTACACAACCAACTTTCAAAAGAATTTGTTCAGCTTGCCTTGATGTATCATTCAGCCATTAATCAAATTAAGGGATCCTCAACTGAGTTGGCAAGACCTCTTCTAGCAAAGTGTATTGACACCAAATCAGTCACAATCTGTTCGTAAATGTCTCTTTTAATGGAGATTACTGATGCTCCTAGGATTATTGTTTTATTCATTATGGTCCATTTTGCAAGCAGGGTATTGAAGCAGTAGTATGCATTGTGTTGGAATGATTCCAGTGTCACATACTGCATTGGTGGTATAAATAGTGACATGAGAACTCTCCTGCTCCACTGTGGTGTTAAAGAATAAAGCAAGACTACATACAGGGATTACTGTAAGAGGAGCTTAAATTGTGTGATCAGAAAATGCTCTAATAAGAGTCCTTTTCTAGCAGTCAACCTCGAAGATCAAACACTAAAGCGGAGCAGGTAATCTGTCAGCATTACTTTCGTGACTTTAGAACACAATTCTAGTGTGGCCAGACTTACTTGTGGCAGCAATGAGTAAGAAGTTTGTAGCTACAGGAGCCCTGGAGATACTTGATATCTTGTGTTTTACATGGGCTTTGCAAGTTGCAGCTGCTAAGAAGTAGCCTTTCGTTTAGTTGAGCATGTAACTGACTTAAAACTAAAGCCATACAGACACTTTTGGCCCTCCATGGTGGAGGCTAAAAGCATTGTGCGACATCTTCAGATTGATTCATGTTACATGCCTCTTGCATAGTTTACACAAAAAGGAATTATGCAACAATAGATTTCTACTCTTGGAATATCTTCTAGCATAACTGAGCTACCAAAAATTGTCCATGTATCTATAGCCTTAACCTAACCCTGTGTGTTCATGTAGGTTGAAGACTTGATTGTACAATACAGGAAAAAGAAAAAAACTGTTGCAGGAATTGTTACAGAGCCAATCCAGTCAGAAGGAGGAGACAACCATGCATCCGATGACTTCTTTAGAAAACTGAGAGATATTGCTCGTAAGGTTGTAAAACTTAAAAGTTATTATTGTTGTTATTATGTATCCACATATTAACATAAATCATTTTAAGTCAAATTTTTAAGTTGAAGTGTTGCTAAACCCAGGACTCTGCATTCACTATATCCAGTCATTCACTCTGTCTGGTCTCCCACAGTACACAGAATATGGAAATGCAATTATTTTAGTAAATATAAACTGCTAAATGCCTTTTCTCTTCAGCTGTATATGGCAGTCTTGTGACTTCTATCACTGTCCAGCCGAGGATTGGTTCAAGCTGATAAGAGAGGTTTTCATTCTCCTCTGGCTGTTCTATGAATCTGTAGGAACCCTGACCCTCTGTCTGGATAATGCTGATTGGCACTGTGCCAATCACATGCACCCTCCCAAGAAAAAAGAAAAAACCTCTCTAGCAATACACACCAAACTAAGTATGTGCAGAGTGCTTCCTATGGCTCAGCAGATGGATTGGGGACAGGGGAGGATCAGAGAAGACAGGATCAAACAGCCTTATTACACAATGCAGAGGATTAACCCCTTAGGTTCCACAATGAGTATAACAAGCATGCTTTACTGCATATACAGACTGATTTTAATGTTATGGGTTTAGTAACACTTTAAATTAACATTCATGGATAAAATATAAAGGTTTTGCAGGTTTATTATAGAGGTTGAGCTAACCAGTCTGTAGAGTTCAAAATCTAGGCCATTTCCATTATGACAATTAACAAAGTTTCAGTCTAGGGCATAACAATGCATTTTCTAGCCAGAACATGAGAATGAACAAGTATGTGATATGGTTATCTCCATATTCCAATAATCATGTGAAATTTTGCATGTTACCAGTGCACAAAATATTCAGTATACAAGCATCTTATTCTCCTTGTTAAAGTGTGAAATTGAAAAGGAATTTTAGTTTACGATAGAGTGGAGAGGGATTAGACCACCTGTCAATTTTTATTGTTTTCTCCTCCCCCACTTGGGAGATTCACCCTGTCAATTTGTTCTCTTTATCATTATCATCATCAAGAGTGAAAGTTTATTTAAATTAAACCAGTTTCAAGTTTATTTAAATATTACAGCATATATAAATACATATATATTGTACTTTTACATCAGTCCTGCCCTCAAGGAACGTACAATCTGAGGTCCCTAACTCACATTCATACATACACATACTAGGGTCAATTTAGACAGGATCCAATTAACCTACCAGCATGTATTTGGATTGTGGGAGGAAACTGGAGTACCCAAAGGAAAAACAAGTAGGCACAGGGAGAACATACAAACTCCAGGCAGGTAGTGCCATGGTTGGGATTCAAACCAATCAGCCTAGATGGAAGTGCAAACCACTTAGCTACTGTGCTGCCCACAGAACAGGAATAGAGGGGAAATCTTCCAATGGAAAAACTTGTTCTGGTGACAACCAGGTTTATCCCTCACTTTGGAGTGATTTCCCACCCATTCCTGTTTTGGATTTGGGACATGATTTGAAGGGAAAGCTCCAGAATGGGACACAGGTGGCAAAAACCGACTGGAATTATAACTCTCCCTTACTCTATCAAAAGTGGGGGAAAAGGTTTGCTTTTAGTCACAGAAAACTCAGAAGGATAAGCTATTAATTTGGGCCATCCTATGTCATTCTACTGTCCATAACTGTGACTTTCAGTTCAGCCAAAGACATAAAAATAGGGCCACCCATAGGTATAATGCCTTGCCCGTTAGACGCATTTAGATACTGAAGAACACAAATGTCCTGATTTATTCACAACACAAGAATATTTTTTGAACCAGAATTACCTGTTATAATCTATCTGAATTTGATTTCTTTCAATTTTCTGTAATTACAATAGTAAGTTTGCATTATTACTTGAGTTTTAATCCATCCTAATATTAAATCTCTACAGCATGGATGCGCATTTTTAGTGGATGAGGTTCAAACTGGAGGAGGAGCAACTGGGAAATTTTGGGCCCACGAACATTGGGGCTTGGACGATCCAGCTGATGTTGTTTCCTTCAGTAAGAAAATGATGACAGGAGGGTTCTTCTTTAAGGAGGAACTTCGTCCTGATGCAGTAAGTGTTCAGACTATTATTGCTTAATGCTGTTGAGGAAAATATATTCTAAAGCGCCTATAAACCTATTGTGTTAACAGCTCCCATTTTCAACATTTAGGTCAATTCACTAAGATGACAAAGTTACTTAAACTGCATTTCTTTAAAATAGTCATTTCACAAACATGAATATCCTTTGATCCCATCAAACTCTCAAGAGCCAGTCAGAGTGGTTTCCCATCCTGTAAACACCGACAGCAGAATACTTTATTTAGAAAACATGATTTCACTTGTAGATGGCAGTGCCTTAGATTTAACATTGCAATTCTGGGATAAAATATAAAAAAAAAATCCTGAAATATATCTATTTAGCCACTTGCCCTCCTGAGGATTTACCCAACTTCCTGACCAGGCCTCTTTTTGCTACTCGGCGCTGCACTAATTCAACTGATAATTGCGCGGTCATGCAATGCTGCACCTAAACGAAATTTACGTCCTTTTTTCACACAAATAGAGCTTTCTTTAGTTGGTATTTGATCACCTGTGCGCTTTTTATTTTTCACGCTATAAACAAAAAAAGACCAAAAACTTTGATGAAAAATGATATTTTTTACTTTCAGCTATAAAAAATATATAGTAAACTCAAAGCTAGTTATACATTTAGGCCAAAATGTATTCTGCTACATGTTTTTGGTAAAAAAAATCCCAATAAGTGTATATTGATTGCTTTGTGTGAAAGTTATAGCGTCTACAAACTATAGTATAAATACTGCAATTTGCGCCATTTTTTTGCTATACAGCACTGCACTAGTTTAACGGACAATTGCGTGGTCATGCAATACGGTACATAAATGACATTTATGTTCTTTTTTCACACAAATAGAGCTTTCTTTTGGTGGTATTTGATCACCTGTGCACTTTTTATTTTTGGCGCTATAACCAGAAAAATTTATGAAGAAAAAAAAACTTTTGAGAAAAACATTATTTTCTCATTTCTGTCATAAAAAATATCCAAAAAAATTAAACTTTTGTCATAAATTTAGGCCAAAATGTATTCTGCACATGTTTTTGGTTAAAAAAATCCCAGTAAGTGTAAATTGATTGCTTTGTGTGAAAGTTATAGCGTCTACAAACTATGGTATAGATAATGGAATTTACACAGCTTTTACTTTCTGACTGCCCATCATATTTCTTGAGGTGCTAAAATACCAGGATAGTACAAACACCCTCAAATGACCCCTTTTTGGAAAGTAGACACCCTAAGCTATCTGCTGAGAAGCATATTGAGTCCATGGAAGATTTATTTTTTTTCCACAAGTTTCTGGAAAATGACAAAAACATTTTTTTTTACACAAAGTTGTCATTTTAAATGATTTATTTCTCACACAAGCCATGGGTATATGTGGAATTACACCCCAAAATACATTCTGCTACTTCTACCGAGTATGGGGATACCATGTGTGAGACTTTTTGGGAGCCTAACCACATACAGGAGCCTGAAATCCAATGACCACTTTGAAAGCCTGAAGGTGCGTAACTTCCTCATTACACTTCCTCACTACCTATCACAGTTTTGAAGGCCCTGACATGCCAGGATAGCACCAACTCCCCCCCCCCCCAAATGACCCCTTTCTGGAAAATAGACACCCCAAGGAATTTAAAAAGAGGCATGGTGAGTATTTTGCATATCTCATTTTTTCTCACAAGGTTTTGAAATATAAAAAAAGAATAGAAAAAATATGTTTTTGTTTTTTTTTCTTCTTCATTTTCCAAAAACTTGTGGCAACAAATGAGATCTGAAAAATACTTACCGTGCTTTTAATCAAATTTCTTGGGGCGTCTACTTTCCAAAAAGGGGTGATTTGGGGGATTAAGTGCTATCCTGGCATTTCAGGGCCTCTGAAACTGTGATAGGTAGTCTGGAAGTGTAGTGAGGAAATAAAGCCCTTTAAAAGCCTGAAGGTGGTTATTGGATTTTGGGGTCCTGTGCTTGGCTAGACTGCCAAAACATCTCTCACATGTGGTACCCCCATACTCGGGAGAAGTAGCAGAATGTATTTTGGGGAGTAATTCCATATATAACCATGGCATGTGTGAGCAGTAAATCATTTAAGTGACAATTTTGTGTAAAAAAATATATATTTTTTTTTTTGTCATTTTCCAAAAACTTGTGGTAAAAAAATAAATTCTTCTATTGATTCAACATGCCTCTCAGCAAATAGTTTGTGGTATCTACTTTCCAAAAAGGGGTCGTTTTGGGGGGTGGGTGTGTTTTATTAGAAGTTTATGCCACACATCATTCACTCTTCTAACCACCTGAAGACCAAGCCTTTTCTGACACTTTTTGTTCACATGAAAAAAATCTGTATTTTTTGCTAGGAAATTAATTTAAACCCCCAAACATTATATATTTTTTTAAAGCAGACACCCTAGTTAATAAAATGGTGGGTACTACAATTTTTGATGCCACATAGTACTCGCGTAGCGGATTTTCCAAAGCAAATTTAAAAAAAAAAAATACACTTTTTTTACTTTTAATGCACAAAAACACAATATATTGGCCAATTATTTGGTAAGATATAAAAAAAATAATGGTATGCCGAGTAAATAGATACCAAACATGACATGCTTTAAAACTGCACATGCAATGGCAACAAACTGCAAACATTTTTAATATCCATAGGCAACGGTTTAAAAGCCTTTAAAAGCTACCATTTTAAATTTACAGAGGAGGTCTAGTGTTAGAATTACTGCCCTTGATCTGACGTTCACGGCAATACCTCACATGCATGGTGCATCCGCTGTTTACATACCTGCACAGGGTCAAGGCTTGTGCACACAGGTGTGCGCACATGGGAGGGGCGATTTTTTTTTTTTTTTTATCACTTTTAATGCTATAACAGGAATGCAAATATCCCCTATAACTTCAATGGGCATTGTCATATATTTCTTTTTTTAGAAATCTGGGGTCTATCAGACTCTGGATATCTCCTTACATTATCTAATCAAACCAAAATCGGTGTGATCGGATGCTTTCCCAATTTACAAATGGCGCTGTTTATATCCTGCGAAACTGAAGTGATGAAATGCTTGTAGCTTCCAAATTCTTAGACTATAGAGATGATTGGCACCACCCTGGTCTCCAATCAGCTCTATGGTCAGCTGGCAGAAACACTGGCTGCATTCTCCGGTTCCCCGGTGGCACGGGACTGCTCGAGAAGGCCGTGGAAGGCAGCGGGGGAGGGGGGGCATCATCTCCCACTGCTTGTAAAAGCAATCCTGCAGCTAATTAGCCACTAGGATTGCTTTTACATGAAAGCCAATCGCCGGCTGAAAAAAATGATACCAGGATGATGCCTGCAGCTGTAGGCATCATCCTGGTATAGCCATTCAAATTCCAGTGATGTACCAGTACGTCGCTGGTCCTTGTTGGGTATACAGTGGGGCAAAAAAGTATTTAGTCAGCCACCAATTGTGCAAGTTTTCCCACTTAAAAAGATGAGAGAGGCCTGTAATTGGCATCATAGGTAGACCTCAACTATGAGAGACAAAATGAGAAAAAAAATCCAGACAATCACATTGGCTGATTTGGAAAGAATTTATTTGCAAATTATGGTGGAAAATAAGTATTTGGTCACCTACAAACAAGCAAGATTTCTGGCTCTCACAGACCTGTACCTTTTTCTTTAAGAGGCTCCTCTGTCCTGCACTCATTACCTGTATCAATGGCACCTGTTTGAACTTTTTATCAGTATAAATGACACCTGTCCACAACCTCAAACAGTCACACTCCAAACTCCACTATGGTGAAGATCAAAGAGCTGTCGAAGGACACCAGTAACAAAATTGTAGACCTGCACCAGGCTGGGAAGACTGAATCTGCAATAGGCAAGCAGCTTGGTGTGAACAAATCAACTGTGGGAGCAATAATTAGAAAATGGAAGACATACAAGACCACTGATAATCTCCCTCGATCTGGGGCTCCACGCAAGATCTTACCCCGTGGAGTTAATTTTTCTTGTACACTTATCAGCCTATAATAAAGAAAACAGCAGGGCTCTTCTCAAAATTGTGTACTAAATAATTTTCAGTGACCTCTGGGCCCGATTCCTGCATCCAGCAAACACATTTTACTTTCCACTACCTTACTGATTTTATTACTAGTAGTTCATGAGACTCACTTCTTTAAACTGTTCATGTTTACAAGAGTCAGCACAACACAGTTATGCCCTACTTCCTGGAGAAAAATGAGGTTATTAGACTGAAAATGTCAGTATAGTACAACATGACTTCATATTGGATTTCTTTTTTCTCTTTTGCTAAGATGTATTTACTTTCCATATACAGTATACCTTGCAGTAAAAATGTGCTTTTCTCTTTTCCATTCTTTTGTAAGCCTTACCGAATTTTCAACACCTGGCTTGGTGACCCCTCCAAAACACTTCTGCTGGCCGAAGTTTTAAATGTCATAAAGCGAGAGGATCTCCTAAACAATGCTGTACAATCTGGAAAAGTTCTTTTAGATGGCCTTCTGGATGTCCAGGTAATCTTTATTTTTTTATATTACATCTGTCTATAGTTTGCTGTCATACCAATACTCACAAGTATACTGCACTCTTGATCTGATGTAAATTAAACAATTGTTTTTTTTAAGATGTGAACATTTTTAAAAGGTACGCCTTAGTAAATATACCTGTAAAACTTCACAACTAGATGTAATTTAACCAATTTTCAGTGTTTAGCTATTTGGTATAAGAAATATATGGTGGTATTAGTTATATCTTAAAGCAGAACTCCGGTCCAATTTTTTTTTTTTTACCATGAAGTGGGGCTGTACCCCCACTGCATGGAACAGCTGCTTACTTTTTTTTAGGGGTGAGGACAAAGCTCATACTCACCTGACCCGCTGATCCTACAGAAGACCACACTCCCCCACGGTCCAGTGGTGAACTGTTCCTGCCGATGTCTTGTGTGTGGAGAATAACTGGGTCAGGTGAGTATTGTTGCTGTCCTCTCCCCTATAACAAAACGAGCAGTTAACCCATGCAGTGTCGGCACAGCCCCACTGCACAAGCAAAAAAAAATAGCCCTGAATTCTGCTTTAATCATACAGTACAGGATACAGGATTGGTATCCATAGACCATGGGTTATAGGCGGCTATCATAGTCTATAAAGACCAGTCTTGTGTGCTTTATTGTACTCCAAGATATGGAATTTACAGGTAAGTCAAAATCATATTTCACATATGCATGTAATGGCTTAAATTGTATATGCTGGATGTTATGGCAAATATAATTTTGTCTTGTTAGAGAAGCATTTACATATTTAACCATTTCGCTGCCAGGTTTGTACTTTGTATGGTCCTGACACCGTGGGAGGGTACACACAATCCAGTAATTGTCCCCCGCCTTGTATTCTGGGCCCCACTTGCCCATCTGCAGGCCTGGGGCTGACATGGCGGGAGGAGGGGGGGACAGGAGAGCGGGCACACATCTGCTCTCCTCCCACTCTTGCTGTGTCCCGGAAAGCAACGTGTATGACGTCACTTCCAGCCGGGAAAGAATGTATTTCAAAAAATTGTTTTAGGCCTGAAGATTTCACAAAACCCATTTAAAATGATTTTTTAAACGTGTGCACAAAATGCAAAAACTGCTCTGGCAGGAAAAGGATTAAACCTTATTATCTGGTGTTTATTTCACTGCATTTTCAACTGAAATGCATCAGACTTGATCTTAGAATGTGAAATAATTGGAAGTATGTGCCATTTCTTCCAGTCCCGGTATCCACATCTTGTGAGCAGAGCTAGAGGTAGAGGGACATTCTGTGCTTTTGACGCTCCAAATGATGCAACCCGGGTTAAGTTAATATCACAAGCAAGAAATAAAGGTAAGTTGGCAATATTCCTTCAGACAATATACCTTTTATTGGAAAATTCTGGTTTGGAGTAAATTGAATATTTCATATATTAACTTTAACCTTATTATTGTAGCAGTGCCATCATCACTAATACACATGGGCCATGCTGATAACAGAGCTTTGGGAGGGACCCAGCAGGTCCACACACTGTAGGCGGCCTGCAAAACAATACAGGGGGTGGCTACAAGACCAAGCAGAGACAGCAGAAGTGACTGGTCTTTATTACAGGAAGCTCCTGAAGAGAAAGTGGGTTTGATTTACTAAAGGCAAATGGACCTTGCACTTTGCAAGTGCAATTGTGCCAAGCTTCACTTTGCAGCAAAGCTTCACTTTGCAAAAAATACCTAATCACATACCAGGAAAATAAACCGCCTTTGTGCTTGCACATGATTGGATGATGCCAGTCAACAGAGCTTCCCCTCTTTTACTAAGCTCTGGACAACTGCACTTGAAAAGTGCTGTCTATTTGCCTTTAGTAAATGAACCCCAAAGCTTCACACTGGATTACTGCACAAATCTGGAAGAAACACACAAAGGACACCAAGATATAAGAATAGACAAGGTTAATGTATTTAGACAATATTTGCTTATCCCAGAGTTCAAGCGGTTTATAACCAAAACCAAAAATGTAATATATTGCAGATTACCAATCATTAGATGGGGTGGCTGCATTAGTAGTTTTCTTTTCTTTGGCTTTCTTCCCTCTGTTTTCACCTGGTGATCTGGAAGTAACACACCTCCTGTATTAATGAGACACTACTCTGGATGGAGGAGCACACGGAGCACATTTGGGCAGAAACAATTTAAGTCTGGGGGGAGGAGCGATTTAGATGTACTAGCACATTTAAATACACTAACAAATTGAAGCCAAACTCCCGTTCACACTCTATAATCAGTTACAGCAAACGTTTTTTTTTGTTTTCCTTTGTTTTTTTCCTGTTAGGATAAAGGTTTTAAATAAATAATAATAAAAGTTGATCATTCTAAGCACCTCTGCCAATATTAAGTGATTTGACTCATCCATGTAACTGATGCATTCTGCTGGAGAGCTTGTGCGTTTGAAAAACAACAGGCTTGCTGGCTAGATCACCAGATGAAAATAGAAAAAAAAAAAAAAAAAAAATGAATGCAGCCATCATATCAAAGAACTATTAAGATGCACTATGATAAATGTTTGCTTTTGATTTAATACTTTAGGAATAAGCATGTATGTTATAACAGACCCTGCATGGAAAAAATGTTATTCTAATCTACAGTGACCATTCAGCTCTGCAGAAATACCACGTCAGTATAAAATATATGTCAGTGAAAAAACAAAAACATGATTTGGTTTAAAGAAACCCTGTCATCATCTCATGCCTATTATGATAAACATTTTTAGTTACAGTACTCGCTTACTGTATATATATATATACATACACATATACTCACATACATTCTAGGCTTTATTTGATTAAAAATTAAAAACCCCGCTGTGCCGAAAATAGACCCTGTCTATTTACTCTCCTCCAACACCTTCCAAACCAACAAAGCCACTCCCAGCTCTATCATCAGCCAGGATCCTGAAGGGGTCAGGGAAGATCAGAATCAACAGTGGTTGCAGACTTGTGAGACTTCTCCATCCCCAGCCAAAGACTATAGTGTGAGAGGTGAATGAAAAGACGAGCTCTGTTTTCAGCATGGTGGGGAAAAATGATTTTCAAAATATGGCCTAGCATATGCTTGTTTGGGTACTCTAACGTTTTAATTTTTAATAGGCATAAAATGATTTGAGGGTCTCTTTCAATAACTTGGCTCCATTCATTCTATGCCTTTTTAAGTATTTATTCACTCTGGCAGCAGAGAGGCAGTGAAAACAAGTGATTGATCTGTGATTTTAGCACCCCTTGACTGCCCACTGGCAAGGTAACATTGTTGGTGGACATGTTTGGGCAGATTTTTGTGGCAGTGACCAGATGCAGCAAATGTTACACGGTATGTCTCTTTTAGCAGGCTGCATTGTCACCAAACAAGCTTGTTTCAGGTTAATGGTACCGTGATGCACCTGTATCCAATGCACATGGTACGGTGGGATTTTCTAAAAAAAAGAGGTCATCTAGGAGACAGCATATCGCCTCTGAGCCACCTTTTAACTAGTTCTGAAAAGCGATCCACTGAGGAGCCTAATGGTGCCTGGAAATATTCAACGAAGGTGCTTGAAAGCTTTATAAGAGTTCGCTGTACACACACTGCTCATATGTACAAAGCCTTGCGGTGACTATAGAGCATGACATGCACATAAAATCTGACTATCAGGCTATGGCTAGACCCCTGCATTAACATGTAATCGCAGTGATACCATTCCATCTCTAGGGATTTTAAAATGATTGTAAACCTTTTTTTTTTTTAATAACAAACGTCATACTCATTTTAACAAAAAACCACCTCCTAAATAAATGTGATAAACAATAACCCTTAACACAAACAACACCTTCCCCTGAAGGTGTAACAGATTTATATATGTAAAAGTGGGGCCCTTATGATTAAGCCAATGACGAAAAGCGTCAAGGGAAGTGACGTCAAGACGCACACAGGAACCGGAAGTTGACCGGCGGCCATTTTGGAAAAGGGAAGCGAATGATCTGGAGCACCTGGACGTTCTTCCTGGATGGCTGTGAGGCTGTGAGGTTTCTATTATGAGTGATTACGTGCATAAAGGCTTGTTTTGATGTAAGCAGTTCAAATAAAGGTCATTTGATTTTACTATTGGCGGTATTACACTATTGTGTTCCTTATGTTTTGTCCCTGGATGGAGTAAAGTGCCTGGAAACAGTGGGATCAGCAATCCAGGGAGGATTGTGGAGATCATTCTCCTGAGAAAGCTGTTGGATTGATATAAGCATGTGTTTTCTGAAATGTTGGTACATGCACATGGGAGATCGTTAGAAGAGTTTCTGAACATCTTGAACTTTGATATTATAGGATAGTGAGAGTTAATAACTGTTTGATGGACTGATTGATGGACTTCACAGTTTTTATTTAAAGTTTGTTTATAACACTTTTACATATATAAAACATCATACTCACCTGCTCTGCGTAATGGTTTTGCACAGAGCAGCCCCAATCCTCCTTTTCTCAGTTCCTCCGCAAGCTCTCCTGGTTCCAACCCCCTACCAAATGTGCACCATAGCAAGCCATTTGCTCTGGGGGCACTTGAGCAGGCTCCTTCCAGAGCCAGTGTTGTGTGTCCATAGACACACAGCACAGCTCGGCCCTGTCCCCACTTTCCCTGCTCTCTCCTCACTGGCTGCTGTCTCTGAATCTATGAGCAGAGATAGAGTTCCTGCTCTTGTGCACAGCACTGGATCAAGATCGAGATCGGTTTCAGGTATTTGGGGAGGGGGGGACTGGGGGGAAGCTGCACTCCGAAGGTTTTGTTACATAAATGCAGAGAATGTGTTAAGATGAAAAAAAAACCTTCAGCCTTTAGAACCACAGGTAACTGAAATTTAAAGCGGAACTAAGCCCCCCTATCCTTTAAGGTCAAGGAAGCTGCCATCATGTTTGATCTGCAGTTACCATGGTGCTGCACATATGATCAGTTATGACACCAGTTATTTACTGGCTTGTCAGATCAGTTGAGAGTACAAGCAACTGTGACAGTAAATAATCATGGCATGCCATGAAATCTGTAAACTGATTGGTTTACTTCCGCTATAAAGACGCATTTAAAACACATAAGTGAATCACGTCTTGTCCAGTTCCATATTTTATGTACTTCAAAGGATATGAGAGTAAAAAAAAGGGCTGCCATTGCTGGCCATCCTGAAGATGCTATTTGCCTAGCTGTGACTGCCTTCAATGTTTCTGGCCTTTTTAAATATGTAATAGACCCAGTGTGTGCCAGGTGATCACAATGGTCCAAACTCCTGATCTACAAACTTTCTTTGGGCATGTGATTGGGTAAAATATTAAAGCCACTGGATCAGTATGACGGCCAGGCAACTAACTTTTCAGTAGGAGAGGTCAGCTTTGATATTCTAAGTGTTTCTGCTCATGACAGTTTTCTTTTAATGCTGCATACTGTTAACATGGAATGTTCTAAAGTGCAAAGAAGCAAGAATATTCTAATGAGCATTTTGTCTTCTTAGGTGTGGTACTAGGAGGTTGTGGTGACCGATCCATCCGCTTCAGGCCAACCTTGGTCTTCAAAGACCACCATGCACACCTCTTCTTGAACATCTTCAATGACATCCTGAGGGATTTCAAGTAGAAACTGATTCTGCTGAGCTGCCTTAGTCAAAAGAAGGAAGGAGATCTTAATCTGTTTTTATTAATCTCTACTACTCTATACACACAGTTCAGGTCTAACTTTAGCAGAAGGAAGAGTATTTTTGCTCTTGAGCCAAACCAGTGTTCCCATACAAATCCGTTTTAAAGTCCTGCAATGCCTATTTTCATAGGAAAACGGATTTTTTTCTAGTGTACAGCTTATAGTGTTCAGGGATGTTATCAAAATAAAGGATTTCAATACAAAGTACTTATTAATATTGTATAATAATTAAGAAGTTGTGTAACAAAGAGACTGTGAAATTGTTTTTCTTTTCTCCCATTCAATTACCTTATTGCTTTGAGAGTATCAACACTGTGTTCAGTTTCACAATGTAGGTTCAGTGTATGTGTTTTTTTTATCGATGTAAGTGTTAAGGATTAGGAAAAAATGGTAGGAATTTCTTGGCCTACCTCTCACCATTCATTGTCCCCATAGCGTGAGAGTCTGGTTCTGTGAGATTAGTTATTTACGACATTGGATTTATAGTTAGATACTAGACTAATTAGATTAGAACTGACATCATGTTCCAGTAGCACTAGGTAAATGACCCCACTTGAAATATATTTGCATGTTACCTTGTATAGAGAAAAATTCAAACAGTCTTTAATTATATGTGACATATTTCTCTTTGCTAGACCTTTGACTATGGCATCCTCTACATAATGGCCATAAAGAACATCAATAATACAAATCAAGTATCTTTCATCCATTCTTAATTCATTTTCATTTTCCTAGATCAGTGCAGTATTTTAAGTGGTATCAGATATACCTTTTAATTGCTTTTATCGAAAATCTGTGCTTTGCTCTCCAAAGCATTTATTTTTGCTACAGCCAGTATGTTTTTTTTTTTTTTTCTAAATAATAAGCCATTTTGTCATTGTCTTTTCCTGATGATAAATTCAAGCTAGTTTCTCTTTAACTCAGGTTATCCATGTATCTAGTCTATTTGTTGTATACCTTGTTTAAATACCCATTTATCCAAAAAAATATTATATGAAAGAGGCACAAAAATATATATCGGAGTACATACATGTACAAAAATAGAGATGGTTCCTATTATTAGATAGATACGTGATAGCTTTACTGTGCAGCCTATGGCCAGACATTTTAGTCAAAAGAGATCAATAAATATTTGCTGTTTTTTTCATTGTAATTGTCCTCTTTTCTAACTATTTGCCTTTTTTTTTAAACAAACTCATATTATAGCAGACCTGTAAAGACTTATAGCCTTGTAACAAGAAGGTATGGTACCTGTAGAAATCAGATGCTAGTTGTCTTATGGGGCTGGGAAGTCTGATCGGCAGTTATTGACTCTATTGGCTAGAGTACAAATATTTGCCTAGCAAACTGTTATTCCCCATTCAGCACAGATACATATGGTGCCACACGTCACAGCAGTTGATAGTGCATACAGTGGCTATGAGGGATGAGTGAATATACCTGGGTTGACTTTGCTAAGATTTCTGAGAATCTTGCTTGAAGTTCGTGAGCTTTGCAGCACACCAATTTGATGTCTATGGGGGGCAAATCTTGTTATTCAATTCTGGCCATTTGTAGAGCTAATAGACACGTTATTCACAAACAAAGGACATGGGAAGTGGGCACTGCCATGTACCAATGCCAAAATTTAAGAAAAACTAAAAACAAACAAAAACAAATTATCATAGTCTACACAGAAATTTCAGCTCTCCCCAACTGCCCCAACACACACAATAACAATATGGCTGCTGTAAGCCGTCCCTTTTCTAGAAACAGAGCTGGGTTATCCATTCCTTCAAATTATTGTTTTTTGTAATTAATCTGACCTAGGGCAACTTTATACAGTGCATTATACGTGTTCCTTATCTCTAGTGAAGAATCTGCAAAGTTTTTGATCAAAAGTTTGTGATTCCTAGGGATTCCGCACAGATCCACATTAGCCGCAAACCTGAACCTTACCCCTTGTGAATATAAGAATACATGTATAAGTGTTCAAGATCTTTTGGCTGTAGAACCCTGACCACCACCTGATGTGAATGTCTGAAGTGCCAAATCTTTTGAAACTTCTTGAACCCCATAGACTTGGCCAAATGTATGTATGTGTATGTAACACATTCTTAAATTACTATTCTGTACTTGAGCCAAATATATTTATGTTGTGCTAAGCTGTCCATAGAAATGCATACATTCTGTAAAATGTTTGTATTTTTCTTTGATGATAAAGTGTATGGATTTTCCTAAATTATAGATATGTTCTTGTATATTGCCTGGGTGGAATGTAGAATTTTAGAGCATCTCATTTGAGTATTGGTCACTTGTATGCTTTCCCACAAACATTATGTAAGACTGTTGCCCACTTGGCCAGTCTGTATCTTTCTCCCTTGGTATTCTGACAGGCACAGTCATCACATGACAGGTTATTTGGATTTGCAGGGGTTATTTCTTAATCCATATGGCAAAAAATATTGGTTCATTAGAACAAAAACACATGCATAATGTACCATGTTCAAATGAGTGTGCATATTGACGTATGAGCCAGAAGCTTAAAGATAGTGAAAGTAGCTTGTCTGGACTTACCACTGTCAGATAACACTTTCCCGGGAAACAACGTGGGGAGATAGCTGCCTTCCCACCCATTCTTGCATGAGCCAACTGAGAACGAGGGGACACTACAATTCTCAAGAAACTCAGAGAACAGTGCACACACTGCACTCTGATCTTTTACTCTGAAGCAATGAACAGCTTCATCTGCTGGTTAAATGCTTTGCCTTCTGCAGTATTTGCACTATGAAATTCCTAATATAACCCATAAGCACAAACGTATCATGCAAGCTGTATATAAAGTTTTTCAGAGAAAGCAGCTCTGCCATTCATTGGGCTCTATCAGCTGAGTGGCAAATTGTTTAAAAATCTTTGTAGGTACAGTACAGTTTTCTATGATTAATGGGTATTCTGGGCCTACATTAAATCGAGTGATTGAAACATCACAACCTGTCTGTAGGCACTGTTTAATTCCATCCAGGCAATGTATAAGGTCAATATATCATGTAGGGTAATAAAGTAGATTATTATTATACTATTGTAAAAGTTTATTTTTATAACTTGTTCTATTAACTAAAGGACGCTATTGCCATAGACCTAAACCATTAATATGTGCCCTAAATATGGACATTTACAGTAAAATATATATTTAGAGATTGAATGAGCAGATAGGTCTACAATAGGTCTTATATAAAAGTACTAGGATAACTGCTTTTGCCTTTGTTTCATTTAGTACATGTTGAGCTAGAAGTTTTAGAAGCTGTTCAAATGTATTGACTTTTAATTAATTAAATATAGGGGCAGCATCTACGGCTTTCCTGTTTACTCATTCTTAATGCATTAATACTGTCTATAACTATAAATTATAGGCAGCTTTACTGCAGAAATAGCTGTTGTGTGCCACTTGCATACCTTTGGTGGGTTAGAACTTATAATCAGCTGCTAATGACCTATGGGTAGAGAAGGGGTTGGTATAGTTTATGTAAACATTAGTCCTGATCAGGGGAAATTCCAGTGTCTTTTTTTGAGTAGCCTACAAGCAAACCTGTGTAAGCTTGTGGTAATGCTGACTGTTGGCTGGCACCGTTATTAATGCCCCAGAGTTGTAGCTTGTCTCTGAACGTGTGACTTTGCAGGTTATAAAAAAGGTATGTGCTTCATCCTAAATGTCTACATGTTTGACCTGTTATTGAGAGATTGTACTGTACATAAGGCATCCATAACTGATGGGGTTCTCTCACATGTGCTTTCCACTTTGTTCAGCAAAGGATCCATGAACAGATCCCCTGCTGAATCAGAGCAGAATCGGTGTCACTCTTCTGACACCCGTGCCCATTTAGTTTTTGCCTGCATTTTGGCAGCAGACTTTGGCAGACCCGTATTGGGTCTGGGGCCACCTTATGTAAAAGAACTTACCGATTACTTCAGGATATCTCTGATCTGTCATCTTTAGATCCAAAACAAGGAAAATTTGGCATTTCTTTTTTGTTTTCTTTTTTCTGAACCTGGATGGATTCAGAGGTAATTGGATGTAAGCAGAAGCACGTCCATTTACATCTGCCTGCCCATAGACTTGCATAGAGCTTCTGGTCAGGTCTGCTGAAAAACTGACAGGTGAACCTAATCACACCACCCATGTGAAAAGGGCCCATAAGGCTGATATTGGAAGACCGGATATTGAAAGTTCAGAATAGTTAATGCAGTCATACAAAGATTGTGTCTGCTCCTTTGTGCGCTCCTCATTTGTCCAGCATGCACCATAGAAGTTCAGCTCAGGAGCCACAGGTGTGTTATAGAGAGATTTTGCTGTGTGCGAAAGATCAGGATGTTAGCATTGGTTCAGATAGCTTGACCTCTGTACATTATAGAGAACGTATCAGATAAATGTTGAATAAACAGTATAGCGCTACAGAGTGTTGGATGGGAAAATGAATGAACCTCACAGAGGAAATTAAAATACATCTTTCTTGTGAAAACTAAATTAACATCTTATGGGTTGTTATACGTATATGTTTTAGCAATATTTGAAAAATAAACAATGACCGCATTAGGCTAAAATTTCTAGAAGTTTGTAAACCTTTTTAAATATGAAAGGTAACTAAACAGATACTCTTGTATGAATGGGATAGTTTGTTGAATGTTTCAGATCCATTGAGATTAACATGTATATAGCATGTTCTGTACATCTGTTAACTTCCAAATACATAATTATGCTTTTTCCTGTATTTTCTTTCCTTCTTTTCGCACTTATTTTGTATACCAAACATATAGGAAGTTATAATTAAAAAAACCAGTATAATTATGACTGATAATTAGGGTGCTCATGAAAGGAATCTGAACTACTGTTTACAGTGTTATATAGTGCCAAACATGTTATGACTAACTGCACTTCTGTATTCATGTTGAAACAAATCTGTTAA